CAGGGAGCCCGATGCGGGACTCGATCCTGGGACTCCAGGATCATGACCTGAGCTGAAGGCAGTCGCTTAACCAACTGAGCCACCCAGGCGCCCTAATCACTAAATTCTACCCCTGAAATTAATAATACAGTATTTTTTAACTAAATTGAACTTAAATAAAAAAATTTTTTATTTTTGTTACTTTTTGGTTGCTACAATTGATTCATAAATATTACTTAAAAATATTAGGGGATACAGATAAGGAATAATAATGATAGTTACCTATACTTGGAAGCAATCATGTTAACATTTAAGCTACAGCCACACGTATACAAGAAGTAAAAATTGTTCTTCACAAAAAAACATTCTGAATGTCTTTCTGTGTTAACAAATATTTACAAGATAACTCTTAGTGGATACTTCATAATCCATTGTATGGATATACTCTTGATGGATTAGGTCCTTTCCAAGTTTTTGCAATAATTAACTTCCTCTTATGTCCATCTATGAACTTAGCTTATGTCTATGAGTCAGAAGATGCTGTCAAGTTTGACCTCTTTCCTAATTCACTGTTTTATGTAATAGGACATTAATATTTCTTGTAGAATTTCCCTCATGTAAAACTTGAGACTGACAATTTCCACAGGATTGTTGTGAGGCTGAACACGTGTAATACTCATAAAAATGTGCTAATTTCCTTGACTAAATGTACATTTTATATCAACAGGTTTAAAACCTCAAAAAGGCTTTTGGACTCACTGGAAACTAAAAGAGCTCACCACAACAACCATACATGGTACTAAAAAAGCACCTTCAATATCTATAAAGGACAGGATTGAAAGGAGTCAGACACGTATAACGGCTGGTAAGTAAGTTTATTGTCAACTTCAGGATGAAATAGCCAAAATCAAGTATATTAAGTTATGGATTTATCATAATTTTCTAATAATTAATTCTTTGGAGGGTCTTAAAATAAGATTGGTGTTATAGTAGTTTGAATATTGCTTCACATTTTAGTTTTTCATTATAAAATGTTATGTGCTTAATTATGTCCTCCTAATTGCCTGTTGTATTTTTATATTTGCCTTCTATCCTACAATCTCATTAGTTCTAGTAGCCTTTTTATAGATTTCTTAGGATTTTCTGCATGGAAAATCATGTCATATGAGAATAAAGAGCATTTTACTTCTTCATTTCCAATCTACATGACTTTTGTTTCTTTTACATGCTTATGACTAGGACCTCTAAGAAAATGTTAACTAAAAGCAGTGAGAGTGGACATCCTTGCCTCATGCCTGACCTTAGAGGGGAAATGTTACGTTATTTGCCTTTAAATAGATTTGGGCTGCCAGTTTTTATAGATGCCTTTTGTCAGGTTGAGGTAGTTTCATTCTCTTCTTGGCTTGCTGAGAATTTTTTTTTTTTTAATGCATGGATAGATGTAGGATCTGAACAAATGCTTTTTAGCATCTATTGAGATGAACCTATTTTTTTTTTTTTTACTGTTTTAGTCTTTTAATATAGTGAATTACAGGGATTGATATTCAAATGTTAACCCAACCCTGAATCTCTGGGATAAATCCCATTTGGCCATTGTGTATTAACTTATTCATGTACTACTGGATTTAATTTGATAAAATTTTGTTTTATTTTCCTGTACTATCCTGTCTCATTTTAGTAATAAGCATTATGTTCCCTCCTCTTCTCTTTTTAAAAAGAGTTAGTATAAAATTTGTATTTATTCTTCTTCCCATATATGGGAGAATTCATTAATGAAGCCATCAAGGCCTATAATTTTTTCTGTGGGAAAGTTCTTAACAACAAATTCAGTTTCTCTAATAGATGTAGGGCTATTCAGTTATCACTTCCTTCTTAAATGAACTTAGTTGTTTTCTGTGAGTTTTTATTTTATTCCTTTAAATATTTTTTAGTTTTTTTTCTGGGATGCAATCCAGTTACTTAGAAATATTTTGACCCATTTGAGCCTTACTTTCAAGCTTCATCAGGTAGAACCAGCAAAGTCTTTTGTCTAGGTCTAACTTGCTTCCCCTGATGAGGCAACACCCTTCTCAGTATTCTACCCCTTGCTCTGTATCGAAGGTTTCCCATCTGACTGTCTAGAACATAAGCTTTGTGTGAGCCCCAAGCAGTGTTCTGCCTGCTCCTTCCTGTGGGTGGCTCTTTACCAACTTCAGGCATAGGGTCAAGGATAACCCTCTGAGGATGTTTAGAATGCTCTCTGTGTCCATCTGTCTCCTCATTATGCTGACCTATGAACTGTGGCTTGCCATCACCTTCCTGAATGCTAAATTTTACTTTCTCAACTCAGTGAGACTAGTGGATTCTGTTTGGATTCCCATTCCTTGCAGTGCGGGGAGGAGACAATTGAAGGGCTCCTACATTTGTTTCTCTTTTCTTAGGGATTACTGACCTGTGCTGTCTATTGTCTAACACATAAAAACTATTTTTTCATATATTTTGTCCAAATTTTTAGTTGTTCAAGAAATAAGAGTAAATCCAGTCCTTGTTACTCCGTAATAGCTAGAAGTGGAAGCAATTATATATATTTTTAAAAGATTAAGAGAAGACTTAAAATATTCTCCTATATTTATCCTTCCTAGCACTTCTTTCCTTACTATAAATTTGAGTTCCTTGTGGTGTTATTTCCCTTCAGCCTGAGAAACTGCCTTTTGGCAGTTCTCATAGTTCAGTTTTTCTAGCAATGAATTTCCTTGTTTACTTATCTAAAATAGTTTGCCTCTATTTTTGAAGGATATTTTTCCTGGGTATAGAATTCTGGGTTCATTTTTCTTTTGCCTTTTAGCAAGATATTGGTCCATTGTGTTCTGGTTTCTATTATTTATAATGAAAAGTCAGACATTATTATTATTTCACCATGTCTAGGGCCAGAAACTTCTCCTGTGAAGGGCCAAAGAGTCAATATTTTAGGTTTTGTTAGATACATATCATCTATTATTCTTTACAACTCTTTAAAAATATAAAATCCTTCTTAGGTTCCAAGTGATATGAAAAATAGGCCATGGAGTGGATTGGACCTGCAGGCTGTAGTTTGTTGATTCCTACTCTATTCAATGTGCCTTTTTTCTTCTAGCTACTGTTAAGATTTTTCTCTTTGTTCTTGGTGTTCAGAAATTTGTCCATGATGTGCTGACATACTTTTGTCTTCATTCTACTTGGCCTCATTAATTTTGTTAAACCTGTGATTTGATGTTTTTCACCATTTTTTGCCATTATATTTCAAATAAATTCTGTTCTATTTCTCTTCTCTGGGACTCCAACTTAGCATGTATTATATTACTTGTTGCCCACAGTTCACTGGAACTTTGTCAGTTTTTTTTCAATTTTTTTTGTCTCTAAGTTTTTTAGATTTCATGTTTCCATTTATTTCATTTTAAGTTCACTGACTCTTCTATGGTCTATGATCTACTCTTAATCTCAATAAATGAATATTTCATTTCATATATTGTACCTTTCAGTTAAGAATTCCCATTTGGTCCTTTTTTTCCTCTCTTTCAATTCGTACTCCTTTATTTCATTTTATTTTTTTTTTAAATTTCAGTATAGTTAATATACAGTGTTCTATTAGTGTTGGCATACAATGTTGTGATTCAACAATGTTGTACATTACTCAGTGTTTTTTAGTAGTTTCTATTTCTATTCTGAGATTCTCTTCCTTCATTATGGCTGTATTATCTTTTAAGTCCTTAAACATATTTAAAATAGTTGCTTTTAAGCTCTTGTCTGGTAATACCAACATTTGGATAACTATGAGATTGATTTCTATGACTATCTTTTTCTTGACTGAATCACAATTTCTTGTCTCTTTTCATGTCTAGTAACTTTTTATGTAATCTTGGGATTTTGAATGAAACTTTTGAGGATATTCTGAATTCTGTTAACTTCCACTAAAGGATGTTAATTTTTGTTCAAGTAAGTTACTTTGGCTGTTTCAAAGTCCAAATGTTATGTGTTCTGTGATGGTCAGCCACTAAAATCTCCACTTAGAACTTTTAGCCATCCATTATTCCTTTCCACCCATCCCTCTAGAGCTCCCTCTTCCCACCCTCTGCATGAGTAATTCAGACACCAGCTAAGGGTTTGGAGAGAGCTTATAATATTCAGATTCTGGGGTTCCCCCTCTGCAGCCCCTTTCTTTTTTTTTTCATGTTCTCCAAATTTTTTTATTATGTTAATCACCATACATTACATCATTAGTTTTTGATGTAGTGTTCCATGATTCATTGTTTGCGTATAATACCCAGTGCTCCATTCAATACGTGCCCTCTTTAATACCCACCACCAGGCTAACCCATCCCCCCCGCTCCCCTCTAGAACCCTCAGTTTGTTTCTCAGAGTCCATAGTTTCTCATGGTTCATCTCCCCCTCCAATTTCCCCCCCTTCATTTTTTTTTTTTTTAACATATAATGTATTATTTGTTTCAGAGGTACAGGTCCGTGATTCAACAGTCATTAGTTTTTGATGTACTGATCCATGATTCATTGTTTGCGTATAACACTCAGTGCTCCATGCAGTACGTTCCTTCCTTAATACCCATCACCAGGTTAACCCATCCCCCCACCCCCTCCCCTCTAAAACCCTCAGTTTGTTTCTCAGAGTCCATAATCTCTCATGGTTTGTCTCCCCCTCTGATTTACCCCCCTTCATTTTTCCCTTCCTTCTCCTAATGTCCTCCATGCTATTCTTTATGTTCCACAAATAAGTGAAACCATATAATTGACTTTCTCTGCTTGACTTATTTCACTTAGCATAATTTCCTCCAGTCCCATCCATGTTGATGTAAAAGTTGGGTATTCATCCTTTGGCTGAGTAATATTCCATTGTATATATGGACCACATCTTGTTTATCCATTCATCTGTTGAAGGGCATCTTGGCTCTTTCCACAGTTTGGCTGTTGCGGACATTGCTGCTATGAACATTGGGGTGCATATGGCCCTTTCTTTTCACTACATCTGTGTCTTTGGGGTAAATACCCAGGGGTGCAATTCCTGGATCATAGGATAGCTCTATTTCTAATTTTTTGAGGCACCTCCACACTGTTTTGCAAAGTGGCTGTACCAACTTGCATTCCCACTAACAGTGTAAGAGGGTTTCCCTTTCTCCACAACCTCTCCAACATTTGTTATAAAAGTCATAAATTATTGAAAATATTTTTTAAAAACACAACCATTTGGAGGTACCAGAGAATGACCAAGAGCAGGTAGAAATTGGAGGGGAGCTGAGCCTTATAAGAGGGAACCTCTAGTGGATGCAATTTGTGTTCAGGCAGTTGCAACTTTTTGGCTGATGGTACTAGTTAGTCATCATAGCACGTAAGTGGATGGAATTCAAACATAAAGTAGAAATATTAAGTAAAGCTTCTTGTTGGTTTCCCAACTGAACATCTCATTTCAGTGCAACTTGTGCTTTTCTTTATTTCCTCATTTTTAAATTTATTTAAGTTTTAGTTAACATATAGAGCAATATTGATTTCTGGACTAGAATTCAGTGATTCATCACTTACATAAAACACCCAGTGCCCATCACAACAAGTGCCCTCTTTAATACCCATCACCCAACTAGCCATCCCCCACCCACCTCTCTCCATCAATCTTCAGATTGTTCTCTATCATTAAGAGTCTCTTATGGTTTGTTTTCCTCTCTCCTTTCTTTTTCCCTCCCTTCCCATGTGTAATCCATTTTCTTTCTTAAATTCTACATATAAGTGAGATCATATGGTATTTGTCTTTCTCTAACTGACTTATTTCACTTAGCATAATACACTCTACCTTCATCCACATCACTGCAAATGGCAAGATTTCATTCTTTTTGATGGCTGAGTAAT